TAGTACTCTTTCCAAGATACTAGGTATACAACATAGTCCCACAGAGATACTATTAGCAAAAAATGCATAAGTTGTAGAATAGACATTGCTTGGAAAATTTAAGCCTGAATTTGTAGAATGTTGCCTTTCATTAAGTACATCAAAAATTCCCTAGATAGTATCTTCCATTTTATGTTGAGCTAATTTAAATAGCTTAAAAGATCTTAAAGATGCCTTTCTTTAGAACACAGCCAAATGTCAACAATATTTTCCCTAAGTGCTTTAAAATTAATTTTTAACCAAATTGTTCCTTATTGCCATGGGAGTGAAGCAAACCAGTTTTCTTCACTTGGCCATCCTTTAGGTGTGCTGAACTGCACCCAAGCGTGGCATAGCGGAAGTTGCAGTCAAACCACCTGGCAGGCAGACTGCAAAAGACCCATTTAGATCCTGTATACTGGATGGATGAGGGAACCAGATAAATTCTGGTAAATGGATTAGTAGTCTGTTAATTTGTGTTATCAGAATATATTTTCTAAATTAAAGGGAGATGTTACAGAAGTATGTAAAACTGAGCAAGGGCTTTGGATTGCTGGACGGTTATTTTTTTTGAGTCATACACTATTAGATTTTGGCATGATTCAATATATCTGAATTATAACAAATTCAGACCAGTAAAACATGTACTTTTTCTGTGAAATGTAATTCCGGAATTCATTGCCACAAAATATAGTATTTACCGACAGGATTCATTGATAAATGATGGGGAAAAAATCAGTGATTAGATATAATCCATACATGGAGATAATGCTCGTCAATAGTCTCCCTTCATCTTCCATGGATCTTTTTTTCCCCCAAGTTGGGTGAGAGAAATTCAAAAGTATTCATGGTGGTCGTTTGAGAAAGTATTTAGAATTCACAATTAGCAAAGTGATCAGTGACTTATTTCTCCTGCCCACCTTTTGGTAGACTTTTACAAGCTCCGTTATGATTCTGCTGTATGTTTGGCTGTGTGTTGTGAAAGGTCTTTTAAAATTTATTTTTTTACTAGGCAAGGATGGGAATCCAGGGACTTCCCCACATGGCTCTTCTCTAGTTCTTAGTGACCTTTATTGCTGATAATGGTGATAGAGATACTTGATATTAGTTTAGCCACCTCTGGAGATGCACAGGTTTCCAAGGAATCCTATATTTACAGCATACAAATGCATACACCAGAGAACATGTAGTTAGTTTACATTCTTTCTGTATTTAAAAAAGTAATTTGGCATGGCTCTCCAACTCTGCGGTAGATCTTTAATCTTCTTCTTTTAGAAAAAGCATAAATTCAACACTTGCTCTTTGTTCAGAAATGCCTGACCGATCTAGGAATATTAATGAGAACACGGCTAATGCAGAGTTGCACATCAATACAGAAAAAGTAAGTGTTGAGGAAGAGTGAATTCGATAGTTTATTTATCCCTTACCTTTGGCCCCGCTTGGGAATATTCAACAAGGAAGCAAAAATCACATCTGCAATTTTAGTGGCATTGCAATTTGGAGATTTGTCCACTTCAACTGCTATTGAAAGCATCCGTTGTAGAAGTGCTGCTTCCCTAAATCAAGGAAACAAAATGTTACTCAAACCATTTAGTGGAAGTGTGAAACCACAGGCTAAGATAATCATCACAAACTTAAGGTCATACTCATATCAGAAGACTTGGGACACTGGTTTCATTTCTTGAACTACACTAGACAATAACATTTGGAATCTGCAATTTAATGAAACTCATGAAGCCTTGGGTTAATGGAAAAAAAATAAAAATAAAGGAGAGCCAAACAATTTGCTCCTAAGGTGGAGTTGCTATCAAAACTACTTTCTCTGCTTGACCTGCCATACAGTGGGGATGAACTGAATGCTCTTCCCATGAACAGCAGCCAGATCACATACTTCTGTTATATTTTGTATCACTCTTGTAATAGGAAAGACTATGGATCTTTTTTCTCTTGGCACTGGCCAAGAGAATATTGATAAAGGACATCTTTAATTGCCATTGTAATACGTACTGTGTATACAGTAAATGGATTGCTGTAACAAGCTATACTTGGGCTGTCCTTCTGCATTTGGAAGCTGGTGCCAAATATACAGGCATTTTTGTGCACTCTTGAAGCAGCACTTGTTACATTTTTGTTCCTTCATTGGTTTCCAGGTGCAATTCAAGATATTGGTAATGACCTATAAAGCCCTATGTGGAATGAGACAGGGAAATTTGAGGGACTGCCTGTCCCTGATTACATCTACCATCCCATCAGATCCACCAGGAAAGGCTTGTTAAAGGTCTTATCTACTGGGAAATGACATCTGATGAGACCCAGGAACAGAGCCTTTTCTGTCATAGTACTTGCCTGCTGGAAGGTCATTACCCCAGAATGTAGATTTAAGAGGGGCCTGATGACTTAGATGTGCCATCATATCTGAGGATCCAGCAGCAGCAATGAGTCTTGGCAATTGTTATATTAAATGGATGTATGATTTATATTCATCAACCATAATTGTTAATTTTTTAAACATGGTTTTAAGATAGTTATATGCTGTAGTGTTTATGTTTTACTGTTTCTGTTGTTTTTAATTATTATGAGCCACCCATAGTAAAACTTGTGAGATGGGTAAAGATAGATGATAGATAAATAGATAGATAGATAGATAGATAGATAGATAGATAGATAGATAGATAGATAGATGATAGATAGATGATAGATAAAGAAAGTTCCATTTTAAGTCAGTCATAACTAAGTGCATTCCATAGAATTAACACTTTTTGGGTGTGTTTAGGCCATCCCAGGTTTGGAAATATTTATTTATTTACATAAAACAACAGATATTATTTCATTGAAGATTTAGGAGAATTCAAGGAGAAAAACACTGTAATGTGAAATTCCAAGAAAGCAAACTTTTGAATCTGCTTACTTTTTAACCTGAAATTGTATGGAGGCATCATCTTTCTGCATGGTCTCATTTAAGGAGAGTTCTGGAATAGAGTTACAGCTCTGACCTCTGGATTTGTCTATCAATACATTTTTGGTTTCTTGCAGCAATTTTCTGTGCTGAGAAAATCTGGCTCCAGTGACTACGGCTATTAGCCATTTAATCACTTCCCTGAACAGAAATAAGGAATTAGAAATGCACACATGTGATATATAATTTCAGATATTGGTCATACATGTTTTAAAAATAGTAATTACATTAAAGATACAATTCACAAGAATAAAAACTAATACAAACTTTAAGAATAAAAATAAGGATGCAAAAAAAATAGAAAAGAAAGAAAAAATATTTATAGTAAAGTAAATGAAAGGAAGTGATTCCCTCCCCTTACAAGTATAAACAATTAATAACTGATCATCTCTTAAAAACATATCCCACCTCTTATTTATAAACAAATCCATAAAGCCTTGTCGTTTTAGTCCTGTTGTCAGCAAAAGTCCGGTAAGGATTTCCAGAGATAATATCTATTTTAATCTTAATCAAATAAACTAATTTTATATTTATTCCTTTTACTTCTAATGATCTTGATCTTTAGTCCCTTCAAATAATCCTAGAACTTTATTTCTTTTCACTTTTTCTTTGTCCTATTTCACAAAATTCTTCAAAGTTTAAACCAGCCTTTTCTGTAAATCCAATGTAGGAAAATTACCCAGATCACTCCCTTGGTTTGTTATTTGTATATTCCTTTTATTTATTAAGACATCAGGTGGTTTCTTTTGTATGCTCAGTGTGACATCTTTTTTCATGTCATTCTAAAATGTGGCCTGACATTTTAAATCCACTTTCAAATCAATTTTGTCAGGTAGAACTTGTTCTTCTTCTACATCATCTCTTATAGACACAATTAAAAGTAACTTTGGATCATTTGTTCAAAAATATTCTTCCCTATGTTCAATGTTAAAGAATTTTGCTCCATTCTGTGTTATCATGATTGAGTGTTCTCTTTTTAAATTGTAATCTTTCGTTCCTTTAATTTCATCTAGTGTTTAAATTTTAAATTCTTGGGGTTTTTTTTTTAAAGAATCTAAAAAAAGCATTTTCTCACAGGAAATATTCTTTATAATTAATTTCAAAAACTTATTTCAAATGTATCTGGGCCCTCAGTCTGTAAAATCTAAAACCTGGTTTGTAAAATCAGAGTTTTAACCACTTTTTCTGTTTGTTTCAGAAAATGTAAGACTTTTTTTTTTTTTTTGCTAACGTTTGAAGGAATCTCAGCTGGCACTGTAAAAGCTGAAAAGTAGTTAACAAGCAGTTTCCACAAGTGATTACCTTCATCTCCCAGAGCTCTAAACCCACCAGGTTTAGAGCTTGCAATCTCTACACAAGAAGCAACTATCCGAAGCACTTGTGGGTGATCTCAAGTCCTCTCCTTAGCTAGAGAGGAATTATGGTCTACACACTGGCTCTTCACTCTGCCACAGTCATCTTTGTCATTTCATCCCTGGAAGTCCCATTCATACAAGTCGTTGGTCCAATATTTCACAATATTTTTAGGTGGACGATAAGGAACTTGCAAGCCCTCATCCTAAATTCCATAGCTCTTTGCATGAAGGCAAATCAGACCGTGGGAAAGAACAGCCTGTCTCTTATTTGGCAGGCTGCTATGCATACAACAAGAAAAAGAACAGCAGAAGAAGCCAGAGAGAGAGAGAGAGAGAGAGGAGGAAGTGCCCTACCTGCTATTTGCTTTGCCCCCCACCTTCCAGCCCCACTACTTTAGCTGAAGCTCAGGCAAGTTTGCTATGGCAATACATCTAAACAGTGGACAATATTTGGAAACAAGGGATTTTCCCAAAGCCCCAGGATTCTTGACAGTGAGTGAAAATGCAAATTACTTGACATTTCCGAAGCACTTGTCACAGGAAAGCACTGCCTTGGCAATGGATCTGTGCAGAACGCCAGTCCTGATCTTCTTTTGGAAGTCGTCTTCTAAGGTCTGTATCATATACTGTAAGAAGAGGATTCGACCAGGAATCATCTCTCCCTGTGGATGTCAGACAATTTGAAAGACAGAATAATGAATCACAGTAGTGTACCAATACAAAAGCAACTGATCTGCCCACATAGTGGAAGTCGCACCCAAGTAAACTGGTTACTAACTAGACAAACTGAGGTGGAACGCTGATATTGTAAGAGGAAATCATAAAAATGAGGCATCTCTCAACAACTGGCTTTGTCCCATGTTCTACCTCATTGGTTCATTTGTGATGGAGTTTGTGGCTTTAGCATTTTATATAAAACAGGGCATCAATCCATTAATATTGTTTGTTTGTGCATAGAGTTGTATGTGAGTGCAGCACCTTGTTTTGTTAACCCATAGTTAAAGTTGAACAGGGGGAATCAACCCAGCCAGGGTTTAAAAAAGAACCTGTTGGGACTTGCGGGTGCTATGCATGCAGCCGGTACAAAAACAAGAATGGGGGCCTGATTCACAGATGGACTTGGCTGCAAAATGTGATGTGTACTACCCACACTGCTTGGTAGTCATAGAGGGCTCTGCCAGTTGCATGTGATCCATACGGTTTCTGCCCTTCCAACAGGGAAAGTGAACAGTAAAAAAACTGGACAGAAAAATTAAATTATTAATGACATTTGCTAATCTTGTGGATGATCCAGGATCCAACTCCTATTCTTGGAATTCAAGACTTAGCTATTTAGGGCATTCTAAAAAAAAAAAAAAACCCTCCTCAGAACAGTCACATGATTGGTGCCATCCCACATTTAAACTAAACCTTCCAGAAGTGCTCCTATTAAACCAACTCCAGGCAGGCAATGATTATTGGGGAAACCTGTCTTCCAAGGAAAGTCTGTTTCATGACACGAAGGTCATGGTAGAAAAGCAACCCTGCGTACCCAGAATGCTGCAGGTCATTAGGGGGGATAAGAGAATCCTCTACATTTAGCTAGTGCAAGACCTGCTGCTGTGCCTGCTGACATGTTCACCAGATGAAAGCGACTAACAGCTGTGGGACAAATCCCACCTCTTTGACAAGTGCCAGGAAAATCAGATGATCCCGACAGTTCAAATGGGTATAAACATTTATTGTAAGCTTGAGCTCTCTTGTAAGCTGACCAGCCAAGAGAAATTAGTGGGAGATAAGAGTAGAAGGAATTCAAGGGGAGCTGAACTAGCCATCTCTTGTTGGCGCAAAGGGACTCATGACTGATGATGCCTTTGACTCCTCCCTCGGGCTCAGCCTGGTCATTTCCTGCACTTTATTGCATCAGAAACTCTACTGCTGCCAAAGAGCGACATTTGGTGCAAATAGGAAGGCTTCATCTAATGCACTATTAGGCTGCAAGTGGCATAACCAAAAAAAATGCAGTTTTAAGCAGAAGACAAAAACCAGGAACTTGGTCAAAAAAAAAAAAAAACCTTGGAGGAGGTAGATAAGAAAGAAACAAATTATTAGGGAAACAAAGGAGAAATGTCACCCGAAGCAGACAAAATAGTCTGGGCCTGAGCACAACTGCAACCTTCCACCCACCCACCCCCATCCCATCAAGTGCTGGTAAATCAGATTTGTAAATCAACATATGTGATGTACAAATAAATACAGAGTTGCAAAAGGACTTTGGGGATAAAAGGTAGCCTGTCCAGGCTGGGTCTTGTCCAGATTTGGCACTTTCTGATCCACTTGCTACTGCCTGGCACCTAGTTGAGAAGTATGCGGGAAGCAGTTTGTGTGTGTGTGTGTGAAACAGAGGGGGTGGGGGGGGAGAGAAAGAGAGAGAGAGAGAATATGTATATTTTAACCAGTTTTGCTACTTCTGTAAATGTATAGGAACTCCTCCAAAGAATTGATGTGCCAGAGCTCAGTTGAAAGTGATTTGTGTGTTCTTATTTACTTCCTAGCTGTTGACTAGGTCTGTGTCTCCTGGCTGCTCTAGCTACACCTGTTTGGAAATCCCAGGCAGAAAGCAAGTGAGACTTACAAGATACATGTGCTCCAACAGGCTGGATGTGAGTGAGTCGCCATAGGAAAACACTGAGAGATGGTGAAAAATATAACTCAGCTTTGGTTAAGGAAAACGTGAAGTCAGATGGCTTGACTGTGAGCTGTGGATGGCAGGAAGGCGACATTGTGCCAAGATAGCTTTCAAGAACAATTAGGGTTTTCAGGTTGACTACAAGGGCCACGTAGAGATGTCTAAGATATGAGAAGCAGGGCATTTTGCTGCATCAAAACCACATATAATAGGGTTAATTCATTTCAGCTCTACTTTCAGAACAGTCATGTGGTTCCAGGTGTGATTGCTTAATAAGCTCCTGTTTACTAATAACTTCAGTGGCTTTTTCTGCTGTATCTTCAAAGCAGACTGGTTTGATTCAAACTGTTTGCTTTTACGTATTAAGGGTTTTTCTTCTCATCTAAAGGGGGCTCATCAACATACCTGCACTTCCATGACCTCACTTAGCAGTTGCCAGTCCCACACCACTGTATCAGTTGTTGCTGGATGAAGTCTAAAAATTAAAATTAAGCTTTTTATACCATCACATATTTGTCAAAACATTCTGCTAAACAGCTTACATGTAGTATATTTCAAATTAAAACTAACCTGTTGTTTCTTTGAGTTGTATTTGTTAAAAAAAAAGATTAACGCTCAGATCCCTTCAGTTTAGGGAAGGGATCACTAATCATTTTGAGCTCTGTCACTTATGACATTTAGAAATAATATTGTCATGCCCCAGCATATAACTTATATACTGTTGCTCTCTAGCCCCATCTAGTGGCCAGAGAGACAAATACCAAGTATATTGTTTGAAGCTGACCCCACCTTTTTACCCATCAGCCTGCATTTTCAAAACAAGTGCACGCTGGGAAGCCAGACTCCATTTGCTTTAGCATTTGGAGAAGGTAGAAGCACAAAGAAGAATCCATCTTAATCTGTGGCACAAGTCATCCAAGGACAAACCTATATCCCACATACAGAACATCACTGGTGAGATTTAAATGACTTGTATTTATTAATTGTTATGTTCAGCAGTAACTCAATACTATCTATCTTGTATTTAGTTCTCATTGTATGTATTCCTATTTTCCCCAGTTTTACCATATCCTGTTCTTTCAATAAAGCATTCAGATCTACGCACAGAGTCTGTTTTATTGGACGATAGGTGGGTTTAGCTGCATGTTGAGCTCCACGTAGACTAACATGTAGTAAGGGCAGAACAATTATCAACGAAAATCTCTGCTATGGGAATAAAGCTTTGCCTTACCGATTATGATCTTAACTGATACCATAACCACAAAGCTAAGAAAGGAATAATGGCCTGATACAAAATCCTACCAAATAACTGGAGGAGTGGGAGAACACTTACGCCTGGATTTTCATCAACAACATATAAGCATCCTTCTGTATCTCCTGTTGCCCCTCTTGATGTTCTGGGCTCAGCAAAATCTGCCTGACCACAAAGGTTGTAACATCTTTTGGTGGATAGTATTTATAGGATACATAGTCCATAAGGAAATCCAAGGTTCCCTGGAAAAAATTCTCTTCCATTGTACTGGACACCATATTTAATCTCCGGAATGGAATAGGTTGGGTTTTTAGTCTTTTATCCTGTGTATAAAGGAAGATCAACATGCATATAGTATCTGGTAGTAATTATATGGGGTGAAAAACATCAGATAATTTTATTGTTAAGATTGCCCATATTTAAAAATAATTTTGATTATTGCATACAAATTATAGACATTGGTTGGAATATTTCTTTCAGTTTTAGTTGAAAATGACAAACGTTCTAATTCAAACCTTGCAAAACTTGTGTGTTTGGTCTTAAACTGAACCATTTCACTAAACGGAATGTTCTGGGATATTAAGCACTATTTTTACAATAAAAGAGGAGATTAGCAAGTGTTTGTTCTGGTTCAGTGATCTCTAACCTCTTGGAGCAGCAGACACACATCATAGGTTTCCCCCACCCCCACAGATGGGGTTGTGGGGGGGGGGGGGTTGGGGCATTGTTCATTTTCTGAAGGCTGCTATAGTGATGTAACCAATATTATACAATATCCATTAGTTGGCTGGTGATATGATTCCCTGATGCACCCTATAGGTATGTATGGCTGGAGGGTAGGGATGGAGAAGAAATGACTGTACCTGCATGATGGTCTCGTCAAACAAGTGACATGACTCTTGTACTTTCTTTAAACATCATGTCACTGTATAATCATGCTATTTGCATAATTATGTTATCTCGCATGTATTATTTTAATATCAGTGTAGCTTGTAAAGTTTCTGCTGCCTCCAGGATACTCATTATTATTTTCATTTGATCTTTTTCAGAGCACTAGATATATTTATCAACAAAGCTGTGGGTTACAACCATTGTTATTTTTAAGAGGTCTATATGGACTCCAAGGACTCTTAAAAAGAGGCTGGTACTTGCTTTTTCAACAGTCTTTATGAAATCAATGAGTGGAATAGTATAGTGGTTCTGATAAGCACTAAAGGAGGTGCCCACAGGTACCACATTAGACATCTCAGTTCTGGTTTATCATGCCAGGTGCATTAATTTGAACATGCATATAGCCTTATTGGGCTTAAGCCTCATTTGATGTTGGCTATTACAATCTGCTTGGTCTCAGCCTTATCCTCTTTGATCAGATGCCTTCCACCTTTTAGTAACCAAGCCAGAGATTCTGTTTGACAACTCGATTAAGGAAGAAGATTCAGCAAGAAACATACACTGCTAGGATGACATGAATTAGAACATGTTGCTATCTGTACTTTAATATGAACTCTGTGCCTCCTAGAGGAGGTGAGATTGTTATTAAGTTTTTATAACACAATACCAAACAGTTAAATCAGAATGTAACAAGGCACCACCTGATAGTTGAGATTTGATAGATGTGCACATTGTGTGAACCCATAAGTGATTTCCTTGTAATTTACTGAATTAATACAGTTGGCTGAATTTCCATAACATACTGAGCCAAAACCAAGTAAATCATATTTTAGCTTAGATGATATCTGAACAAAATTGGAGAGGAACTCTGCTTTTATCAACTATATTTTGGAGAAGAGGTTTTAATGTTCATAATTTTTATTAATAAAGCCTTGAACTGTGGAATTATAACATAATGCCCAAATGTTTGGCCATGCCTGCTGAAAGTCCCAGCGTGACCCATTCCATTCCATTTCTGTCATATGGCAGAACTTTAATCTATTCTTTTTGGACAAAAATGCTTATGCCTTAATAATGGGGTAAATGTAATGTACCTGGAAGATGTTTAGTTGTGCAAACAGCTTTGATGCTACCATTGGCTTTGGATAGAAAGAAGACTAAATCTCATGATCTGCAAATTCACCAGATGTGTGTGTACATAAAACCACCTACTAGATCTATACCCAAGAATATTTATAACAAACAACTTTCCCCCAAAATGGCTGTGTTGTCAGCAATTTAAAGTGGCACTGACTTTTTGATGAAAAAGTGTGACTTTTCTCATGTTTTGTTTTATTTGATAGGAAATGTAGTCCTATCAATTCATTTGAGCTGGACAAACTGATAGCTTTCTGCAAACAAACTTATACAATCTAAAGCGAGCCTATTTGAGTTGTGGAGCCAATGTATTTCGCTGCAATTCTGAGTCTTAGAAACTCTAAAATCCAGATGGATGTGTACTTCAAAGTCCTGCTTGGGATATGGTTATCTCCTGCAAATTACCTTTCTTGACTCCTTTTCCACCACATTTTGGAGAAGAGGGTGATGTACAGGGATTCCATGGCAATACTGTAGCGTTTTCAACCAGACCTTGATATCAGTCCGCTTGGATTGTTCCTGAACATTTGATTCCATGGCATGCCGTGGTTTGTTTGCCTGGTGCAAAGGCCGATCAGCTCCAGTAACAGATTTGGCAGTGTTCAAAGAAGAGGAGCAGAGGCTTGGGGATGGTCTCTGATGCCGGGGATAGAACTGCAAGTTGGGTTTTTTTTCAGATGAGCAAGCCTGGGGGGGCGCTACCCTGTTCAAGAGCGTTGGACGTTCAGTACCGTCATTGCCTGATGAGAAAGAGAAAACATCAGATTCCAGCTGAGGGCTTCCCAAAGATCCCAAATCACTGTTGTAAGTGGTGTGGCTGCTGCCTTCAGATTCCTCACTGTAGTTGGAATGGCAGAAGAAGCTGTTACTTGGAAGGTAGCCTAGTTTTCCTACACCTACTTTGGGGGAAGATCGCTCACGGTCCTGAACCCACATGGC